AATCGGAAGGGGTAGACAGATAATCAGTAAATTAAACCAACTACTTTGGAGTAAGGATAGTAGAACTAAAACAAAAATCCAGCAGTTTAACGCTTTGGTAGAAAGCACAGTAACATATGGCTCTGACATTTGGGCACTTAACCAAGCTCTGAAAAAGAGAATTAATAGTGTTGAAAACAGTTTTTGGAGAGGATGCTGTGGAGTCACGTTGCTTGATCATGTTAAAACAGAGACGATAAAAAGGCCAATAAATATAGAAGGATGCTTAAGTGATGTTGGAAAGAAAATATTGTTATGGTACCGCCACTTACAAAGGATGGATTACAAGACGGAAGAAAAGAGGTCTGCCAAGAGTGAAATGGAAGGAGGGTGTAATAGTGGCATTGGAACGAAAAGATGTGTTATGACACTCTTGGTATGACAAAACAGAACGGCGCCTTGGATGCGATAAAAGGCAAATATAGTGCTGTAAATATCACTACTACCACCACCCCACCTACCTTCAAATTAAATCTAATTTTTAGGATTATTAATAACGTTTTTAATTTTTTTTTAAATAATACGGGAGACTGGGGCTGGTTGGCATGCTGATTACTACATCGGCCACATAGCTTCCTTAACGCCCGGCTTTGTGTCACATATCCATCACGACCTACGTAACTTCTACAGCGGCGGATCCAGAGACAAATTTTGATAGGCGAAATTAAAAATGTTTTGGTCGAATGTATCATAACAGATTTTGTAAAATGTAGCTGGCTACACTCGGCACACGCTTTGATATGGTTTTATTCGTTTCAAAAATAATCCGAAAATATTTTGACTTGAACGTTTCGTGACAAGTTAAAATTAATTGTTGCAGAAAAATTTTACGGGGGGAATGTTCCCTCATTTCCCTCCTCGTAGATCCGCACCTGAGCCTCCATATGATTAGTGATAGAATGTGTCAGTGATGGATGGTGGAATATTGGTAATATAATATTGTTACATTCGTAGGGAAAGATTCTCCTTCTTTTATTAGCTGCAACCTTCAACCAAGTTCTTGAATTTTGTGTATCAATTTTTACTTTCACCTCTTACTACGTACTTAAGTAGTAAAAAGAGAGTATTGGTGAATTTCTACAGAAAATCTCGTATTGTCGGCCGCTGGCAATAAAAAGCCCTGGTCCTAGATGAAGTTTGTTTTGTGTAGTGAATTACTTCCCCTATTAATACGGTGTGTAGTCACAATCCATGTTTTGTGGGTAGTTAAAACCAAGAGCGTACAGAAGATTGGCAGCTGGAGAAACTTGCCCCAGGCTCCGACTTACTTGTAGCCCCGAATGTATTTTCATTCAAATGAAATGAATAATATATTTATTTCTAGTGCAAATTAAAGCTATAAGTTATTTCTGATGCATGGAGAAATTAACTCTATGAATTGGGGGAGGGGGACATTTTTTGTTTGAAATAAAGGACCCCCTTGGATCAATTAAACCAGGCCCCTGGTTTTCTCTGGACTTGGGCAGTGGACATTCCATGGAATTTACTGATGCTTAAGTATAGGAGGAGGAACGTAATTATTTTTCTAGGTTGGTTCTGGAATCTCTTCATATCAACACAACATATTGTCTCAACACACAGGAGAAATCGAATACTTTCACGTGTCTTTATGACTGTTATGCAACATTTGTAATTTTCTTGTGTTTGTTATTCAGTGAAATTCGTCATTTAATATTTCTTTTAACGCGTTATGGTAACCCGTTTAGAATTTGTCCATTTGTAGGTTTTACTTCATGTAACGTATTTGTAGCCTGGGCCCCCTCTTTTTCTCTAAATATCTCGCAATGGTCATCTAATTGTTTACAGTGACTTCTAAGCTGTTTACGTAACTGTCATATTAGACGTGCGTTTGCACGCTCTTTTTAAATATTTGTTTTATTTTAATTTTATTTTGCTAAATTAGTGAGTCTCTATGTTAAATTATATCGAGTGCTGCTTCTTTGTAAAATAATGTAATTAGTGTCATCTCAGCAATTATTTCATTAATATTCTTTATAACATATTTATTAATAATTGTCTCCTTTACACAGTTTAACCTGAGGATGGGGAAAAATGACCTCCCCGTAATGTCGCTCTGTAATTCTCAATAAACTCCGTATATGATTGTAAACAAACAAAAAAAGGTTGTTTTGTATAAAGCTACCGGTCAAAGAAAATCTTTTGTCCAAATACATTGAAGTATATTATTATATTAGTGAATGACCGGCAATTTTCTGTATGTGATACTTAATAAATTTGTTACATAATTCCCTGTTTCTTAATATTTGAGCAGACGAAATCAGTTTGTACTTAAGTCTGATCGTCTCGTATTTAAGGCATATGAAAATGTGTTCAACTGGGTACACCACATAGCATTCTAGGCACGTGGGTAGTTCGCTCATTGGTGTCACGAGTTCAACTGTTTTGTTTCTTCCACGTGTCTACTCTTGCTTGTCTCTCGCAATGTCGGCTGTCCTTGCATTGCTTAGTAGCAAGCCCGCGTTTCACACGTTTAACACGTTTGCTTGTCGTGTGTGGACTCTCTCAGTAAATTGTATAATCGAGAGCAGTGTGGAAAAACTCTTATGCAAAAATAATAGATACAGTCCTGTTATCCCCCTCCGCGAAAGTTTTCTTTCTCAAGATCGACAACTCATAAAATGTATGTAGTACATAACACAAAAATACCCGGATATATCAAGGCGAAAGAGCAGTGAACGCATTTCACCCTAAATGAAGGGGTAATTTTGTCTTCACTTCTCTCTACAGTAAAAAGCACCAAAACAATTATCCTTAATAAACAAATAACCAAAAACGTCTTAATTATAGTGTTGCACCTTTTTGTAAAAAATGCTACATAATAAGTGAGATTTTAAAACATATTAAAAATCTGCACTCAAATCATCTCAGTTTACGGTATGTTTTCGAAGGATAATTGGGAAAAAATACGAAATTAATTGTACGCATTCAATTTTACGTTATTGCCATACTACGTATTTACGTAGAAAAGATAAAATATTGTAATGCTGCTTCAGAAATCGGTGATTTTCAGACGCAAACCTAGTGTTGCGGAGACCTGGTATCGAAAAATTGGATAAAACGTGTCCCAATATGTAGTAAATTACTTTCTTTAACACGTTGATTTCGAAAAATTGGTTGGCGGCAAAACGTCAGTCGTCTGTCAGTCGTCAAACGTCTGCCTCTCTCCCCATCCATCCGTCCGTCTGTCCGTTAAGCACAATTATTGACCATAGACACGTTTCGCCGTCATTAGATTTTTCGGAATTATTCTCAGTTTATTTTGTTTGTTTGTTTCTTTTTCCTGTCGAGAAATCGCCGATTTCCGCCGCAGCACTACAATTTTTTTTTTTACGACGTAAGTAGGAAGGTAGCAACGCGAGAAAAAAATACTTTTAATAAAGTCATACATTTAGAAACACGAATAGTTAAAAAACCTAATTTTTGCTTGAAGTCCTTACATTTTCAAAATTTCATGTTCTCAAAAACGGCTCCAAATTTAATCTTGAAGTTGCTTCCTCGGGTACAGGACGCTTAAAAATTGACATTTGTCTCAATTTCGTTGAACTTTCTGAATTTTCGAACATTGAAAAGGTTAGAAAGCGCGAGAAATTATGTATTTCTGTAGCACCAATAGTTTCAAGATAATTACAGTTTGTCCTATTGTTAAAGATGCTAAGAGAACACTAGCTCTCGTTATAGCATCTGTATTTTGGTACGTGCAAACAATTATAACCTTTGATATACTACGTGAAACGGAACACATACAACGTCGGGTCTTTTTTTTCTAACTCACATTTTTGTGAAATTAGCCAATTTTAATTTACTAGGAAAAATTTTTTTTCTTTCAAAATAGATCCTTTTCATCATTTCAATGAAAGAAATTCTCATTTGCTCCAAATATTGCCTACCACAGCCCTGACACGCATGCGCGTTTTTCGTGGCTTCGGGTCATTTTGACCAATACGTTGTAGAAGAAAGGTTAATATTAAAATGCGGATAGAAGCAAAAGATTATGTGACGAGTCCAAGCTGTCCTATTAGAGAAACACATTACACTACTGTGTGGCTGTCTGCTTCCGCGACGGTCGGAGCGCCAAAAGATAATTCTGCCCACGCGCTCACAAGGCGCGGGATGGAAAAGGGACGACATGTAATGTTTTGCTAAATTTTACGTTACGTCAACCTATTCATCTGATTTTGCCATTAAAAATATATTAAAATCGATGAAATCAGCAAAAAAATGTATTAAAAATAACGTAAAAAGGTAGAAAATTACATTAGTCAAAATCGACGAAAAATGAAAAACAAATGACATAAAAATGAGTAATTTAATTTTGTGATATCATAAAATGAATTTCTATACTAAATAGCACTGTCCTAAAGTTACAAGAAAAAAATGACATTTCATTAAAATCCCCCTAGTTATGTAGTGTACTTGTTGTTGATTTTAGTCTGCCACGTGGTGGCGGCAAATAGAACTCGTATCGGTACGTGTACCATTAAGTCAATAAAACAATAAGAAAGAAGAAAGACAAGAAATAGCAATAAAGCTCAATAAGATAAACTGCAATAAAGTGTCTAATAAACGTTAAATATTTTTTTCACGTTTTTGACATTACTCATTATTCAATCTAGAGAAACTGGCATTTAACGAAACTTCGACAGCAAAAAGACATTCAAGCTTTAGATTTCAAGTACTATTTCAATTATGGAGGTGTACTCTTTAAATTCAAACTAATATTTTGCAACAGTACTTAACACTGTAGAAGGGTTTGCAAATCAAGGAAAGTGTTCCCACATTGTTTCCCAAAAATATTTGAAGCCACAAATACTGGAAACGTTAAAAAGAAAGAAAGAAGAGGTTTGATTAGCGTGATAAATGAATGTTTCATTTGGAAGGAAATAAGTTAAAAATAAACAGATGTGAAAATAAACGTATTCAAATATTTAAGAACTACATACCGATTTTTCTTCCTTGAATAAAATCAAAATAATGATCATCATTTCCACACATCATATCAAATCGAACAGTGAATTTCCTAGCATTATTTATGGGAGTCACAGCCTGTATTCTTGATAAAACCTGAAAATATAGTTAATAGCAAAAAACTTAAGTATACATTCCAATTTTTGCCAATGTTTGTTAAAATGTGAAGCTTTTAAAAAATATAGTATTTTTTAAAACTTAAAAAAGAAGATATGAAATATCAGATCATGAAACATACCATTGGCATAGAAAGCTTTCGTATTGTTGGTACAGAGAGAAACTGGTAAGTAATCGTACTTGTTTTATTCAATAAACATTTGATGTCATCTTTATTGCATTTCCTTTTGCACATAATACTGTTTTCTTGAAAATATCTGAAACAGTAAAAATGAAACATCCAAAACATCATTTACTAAATGTAATTTCAGGAGTGAGATTTCAGGATATGGAAGAAAAGTCAGTTTCTAGTTTTCTATTGAGAAATATGAAATTGTTCATTTTTAAACAAGCAAATATAGTGGATATTTCAAATAAATTTCGAAAGCAGTGTGTAATATATATATGCTCAAGATCAGCCTTAGCTTTCTCATTTTTGAGGAAATCAACGCAGTTCTGCATTTTAACATAAAGTTAATGGGATATCAAGGAAAAATAACATAGCTTTGAAAATAACAATGAGAATCAAAGTAACTGAAGCTACTTTCTTGTAATTTTTAATAAAGATACAGTCGATTTTGTAATAAAGACATTATAAGAAAATGACATAAAAGAATATGACATTCCTCCAAATGATCACTCCTCATAACAACAAACATTTTTTACACCAATTTTAAAGTCTTTAATGTTAATTATTTTGAGCCCTTTTTATGTGAACCCTTCTCTGCAATCAACTTTTTCAGTTTTGCTTCTCTGAAACCAATTCTGAACAAACAAAATTTCACAACTGAATTTCACAAAATGAAGCAGCAACATAACACTCATTTGGACTGAAAAATTTCTGAAAGGTAAGGTAAGGTACTTTTTCAAAAATCACTTGCAAAATAAATTTTCAGAAGACACGCTATCTTCTTAAGGGGAAATCAAGCTGACATTACTCAATCCGTCAGTTATCCACAGACTGCTGAATTGGTGCCTCACAGAAATACTGCTAATGATTTCGGTCCTTAAAAGGGAATTTCTCATCCATTTCTCCAATCCATTATATGACCAGGAAATAAATTAAATGCACAACTTTACTTATTGTTATAACTCTGTTGTCGTATAAAATAAATAAATGATTGATACATTAGTATCCCAGAATACAAATTGAAACTAAACATAATTTGACATACTTTAAAACGTTTCTACTTCCACACATTTTATAATTTGCTTCTAATAAAGCATCTATACATGACAATATTTAAAATATGCTACCCTTCTTATCAACTTTTTTCATTTTTGTAAATTTTTTTGTTATTAGTATTCCTTAATAGTTTTCAATGCACTAAAAGAATTTAATAAATACGGCACCCCTTGATGGTGGTGCCCAGGGCAGCCCTACATACTCTGTGTCAAAGTGTGAGTGTTTTGAAAAGGAATGAAAATAGAATCATGATATCATTTCGACATGATTTAGAGAAATGTTTTACTGAAACAACTTTTTGTGACATACAATTACAAATATACGTCTCCTGAGTGCTTGCTAAATTAACTTAAATGTATGTATACTTACATCCATCAATAATATAAAGTATAATATATTCCAGAAATTTCATCTAATAAAAGTTTTGTAATGCGCAAAATAATACACAAAAAATGACTGAGGATTTGAAGAGTCCATTCGATTAACCAAGTTAAAATATGATAAACCAAGTACTATATCTAAAAGTTTAATTCCATCCTTTCATTTTGTGTCCATTAGAAGAAAGCATAAACACATTCATTTAAATAAAACACACAAGCATTCATTTATTCATGAAAAACATTAGTTCACAGAACTAACAATCAATTTAAATAAATTTTCTTGTATTTTTTAAACATTATATTACTTTACATATCATCCTTTATTTTGTAACACTATGGGATTAACACTTCTATAAACAATACTGTTTTAAACATGTTCATTCTCATAAAATGCTATTTTTCATGCTATTTCTGTTAATTTGTTTGCATGAGTAGTTCACATATGTTTTAAAATTACCAAAAAATAATTCTACTTTGTGAAACTCATTTAATCTATACTACACACATATATTTATAAGTTTTGACAAGATAATGTGATACAATCAAAACTCAAATTCAGACACATATATAATAAGTTTGGCAATAGCTCTATTAATGTACAATTCATTTTGATGGAGTTCCATTACTAACTGTAATTCAATCTCTTGTGGTCCCTTAATAGGACGCACTAGAGCAATAACACCTTGGTTAAAATGTCCACGACGAAGTTGAAAAAATGACTTTGAAGCTGGAATTATTCCTGGTGGTGCTCGTACTTCAGTTAAGTCCATATTAAAAGAAACTGTTGCTGCAGACACTAGGCCTCTCATTGTAAATAAGTCCAGATGGCCAGTTGGGGGGATAAGAATATTTGACACAAAAGATATAAAATTGTAAGAGTAACTTGAGGGCCTTCGAAGGCAATTCAGATCTCCTTCATGGCAGGCAATATGATCGCGTTTACACCGGCTGTACAACCAGTGCAGAAGGACGCAGCATGGTACAGCACACAGCAGAGAAGTGCAGAGCAGGGTACAGTGTACCATAGGAAGAGAGCAAACAAGCAAAAAAATGCGGATTAGTCATACTCATTTTGGTACAATGTTCCATGCAAATATTTTATATTGCAGTTGATTATCACACAATGTATTAGAATTGGCATGTACCAGACATATCTCAAAATCAGACCAAATATATCTAAACATACATCAAAGGTAATTCAAGTGTTTATCAAATGTTTTGTGAAAGTCACCCGAAAAGAAACTATATTGTACTGATTTTTTAAATGCATGATATTAATAAGCAATTTTTCATTATTCAATTGCTCTTTCTTGCATTATTCATGCCGCCTTTCATTCAAATATCATGCACATTTTCATGAACACTTTCATTGAACACAGTTTCTTTGACCTCATATGAATAAGCAGATAACTTGTGAAAACTCAATTTTAATGGAAAGCAACATATCTTGTCTTATTATGATCATATGAACCAATCGTCTAGTGTGAACAATTGATAAATGAACTTATTTGATGATCATCAATAATCTCAAAACATTCTTATAGTTTGAATATATACAACTCAAATTAGCATGTTAGTGTTTCTGGCTTTATGAAATGTACATTACGTTCATAAATAACCTACACATGAATCCATTACTCAGCAGCCAAAAGGAATTTAACTTATCTGATTAATGAAAAATGTTGAGAACAAATTTGAGGAATCCAGCAAAATTCTTATCTCATTTTCAGAGAAAAACAGACTTATTACTTATTCACTGTGGTCAAAGATTTATCCATAATTCATGGTTTAGAAATAAAAAGATCTAATTATGCACATAACATCAGCATGCACGGTCTTTTGCTTAATATCCTTTCATGGTTTCATACTTTTTCACAGGTTTTGTACCCAAAGTTTGCTTTGTCTGATCAGCAAGAGCTCTCTGCACCCAGAAGCTTTGAGGATATTCTCCAGCATTAGACAAGGCCTGATAGAATCATCACATAGCAAAAACTTAATTTTCATAACCTCATATTTTTAAAAGAATGACTTTTTTCAATTTTTGTGTACTTTGTTGAGAAACTAAAACTTTGACACTGTCTTAAAACACATAATAAAATATGGATGCAAAAGATACATTTTATTTGACTGCTTTTAAGGTATTGTACTATAAATGGCAATGTACTATACCACCTGTAAACTCTATTGGCTCATACCTTTTAACGATTTTAAAAGCTGATTATTGTACTTAATGTATATGTGGTTACATTTGAACTATACTCCATTTCCATAAGAACTAATGTATAAGAGATATTGGCAGTTGGAAATTATAAACCAGACTATTCTTTCATTATCATATTGCATCACAATGTTTGTTAATATTTTAGAAGAACATTAAACAAATGTTTCAAGTTATGGGTTAGATAATTAAACAGATTTACATGGCATCAACTTTTGTGTATATAGGACTAGTGGACTCTTGCAAAGATGTCCCCAAAAGCAATCTCCTGTTCTACTCTTCAATTGTTGTCAATGATTTTTTAGTTTATGTTTATGAGAGCTCTCCTTTCCTTGTCGACCTTTCCCCTCATCCCTCTAAAAAGTCATACATATTTTCCTTGAAGCTTTCAAGATGGCAATCCAGCATTTGTTTATGAGAGACCTTTTTCACCAAAATTGTCCACCTTCTTAACCAGCTCCTAATAGTTTTGTACCTTGTGGCTGGGGAGAAAACCTGTCATGGCACTGAAAATTCTAAAAGTTGTCTTTCTTCCTCATTCAGCTTTTCTATGAACTCTTGGAACTTCATCTTCACCGTGATCTTTATCATCATCACCATCACCATCACCATTATCAACATCATTTTAAGCTGTGGCCCCTCAAAAATGCTTACTTTTAATTTAGCTTTCAACAAAATCTAATTTTATAAGTAGGGTCAGATTTTAATGAAAAGTTATAGATTGTTTCTGAACCTCAGAGCAAATTTTACAGAACTTTATGCACAGATATAGGAATTGTAGCATTGAAATATGTATTTTATTGTGCATATGAAGTCATATTTACACCAGTTTTGAATGAATAGAAAGATTAAAAAATGTCTCACCTGACAAAGTTTCAGGGGATATTGTCACAAATAAACACAAGTACACTACAAAGCTTAATTTGAATTGTAAACAAGTAGTGTAGCACACTGGAAACTTCGCTGATATTGCCCATTCACGAGTAGGGTTGACAAAATGCTCTCAAAGTCATCAAAGAAGGCTTCCAATGAAAACATTGCACACACAGTCACACTGTTGAGTTTGAACACTAACTCAATGTGTGGTTCAGCATGCCAAAATGAAAGTGCTCCAATAGCATGAATCTCCGAGGTTTAGGTCATGATTTTGGATAGAAGTTTGAAACAGGGCATGAATATGGAGCATCAAAATACCATTGTATATGTCATGTGCATAGAGTACATAAATATATCAGCTTTTTAACAATATTATGCTGTATATAGTCCTAGCGTCCTTATGTATGATACATTGTCCTTGAGAATACATTAGTAGCTATCGACTTTATTTCGCATATTTATTTCGATATTTATTTTGCATATTCATTTGTATTTTAAGTCTTGTAAAAGTCTTTGTTTCACAGAAAAAGTACACAAAATAATAAAAAAATTCTTTACAAAAAAAAGGTTATCAAAATTTACAATCCTATTAAGCATTTTCTGGTGTAAGGGGATTTCATGAAGGCATGTAGTGTGTAGAGATTGCTCGCTGGCTGTCCAGAGCTAACTTTAGATACAAAAACTTGAGGAAAAGGTATAAAAATATATAAAGCAATGTCCTGGCTGTAAAAGGAAATTAAGACCATTGTACCATTGAATTTCCTTTATTTTAGGACAAAAGGAACCAGACACACAAGAAAGAACCAGAGCACAATGAAAAAGTTAAAATTTAGTGTAATATGACAAGAATTTGTCAACTGCTAAATGTTGCAAATGTTAAAATATTTTTTAATGTGTAATAACTTCCTGCGTTCCACAGAACAAATAAGAATAAAAGCTCCTAATTATAACATTCAATTAATAATTAAGTTTTGATGACATAATCCTTCAAAGCACAATCTCAAATTGTTGCATCATTTAGCAATTTACAATATAATCATAAATAAAGTAATTTAAATTTCATACTTTCTATGTGATGGATCCTTGCTGAATCCAGCAGGACAATGGATAGCTGGACAACGATGACCACCTAATGTGTTGACACAAACTTCATTGTCACCACGGCAGGGTGTGCCAGTAGCACATTCATTTATATCTGTGAAAATGAGAGATCAGACATTTTCAGTATTCTCTAATTTAAAGGTACAATCTACTGCTCATGGGTCAGTAGTTATGACTATTGAAAATATCCAGAAAATATTTACCTTGGCATGTTCTACCATCAGATCCTAGACGATATCCTTCTGGACACTCACATTTGTACTTGCCAGGTTCATTCACACATAAGCCAATGCAGAGATTTCGATCTTTGAACTCATCACATTCATCAATATCTCGGCATGTCCTTTAAAGTACACAGAACAATATATCATAATTTTAAAGTACAATGTACACTTTACACTTTCTAAATATCCTTACTGTAATTGGAATGTTTGATTGAAATTGATGTCAGTAACAAAACTAAATTTGAAAAATTTCATGAAATGACAGATACAAAATAAAAACCTACTTGTTCCATTGTCAGAATACATACTGACATGTAAGTATGAGAATGCATTATTAATGTCCAATGACAGTAATAATGCACTCAATAACAGAAAACTTTATTCACATAGATTCAAATCACAATTTTCCATTGTTCTTTAATTTCTATACAGTAGGTGTTTCTTACATTTAAAGTCTGAAACAACTATAAGTGCCATAAATATAATAATCAGAAACTCACCTTCCATCTCCTTGCAAAGCATAACCTTGATCACAGATGCAACGGTAACTACCCCACACATTGATGCATTTTTGATGGCACACTCCAGGTCTTTCCGTACATTCATCAATATCTAAAAAAAACGAAACTTATCAATAACAAAACATTTAACAATAACATTTTGGCAAAGTGTTTTCCTTCATTTTAGGTTGCACTTTCTGACTTACAAAATTAATATAATTATACTTCTCCATTTATCTATGTGTTTGTTTGATTGCCTGTTTGTCTGTATGTATGTAAATTGATACTCGAAAACACCAGCTTCTCTTATCAGGGTCAGGGAAACTAATTAATCTTGCCATCCATCAGTAAAAAATGTAATAACAACAACAAAACACACTTTTCAAATTATCCGCCAAAATGTTCAGTACATCAATAACAAAACAGAGATATTAGAAACTGCATTTAATGACACTCAGCCACAAATGATTATTGTAACAGAGCATGGTCCAAAAGAAAATGAAATTCAAAACTACTCTCTAAAAAATTATAAATTAATAGTCTATTTCTGTAGAAAACTTCATATGGACGGAGGTGTGGCAATATATTTAAGAAATTCATCAGGGCACTTTAAAGTAGAAAATACAAAGCAGCTCTGCATGGAAAAAGATTTTGAGGTAGCTGAAGTGAGCAGTATTGGACAAAAAAAATAAAAAATATTGTGGTTGGAGTATACCAACCCCCAAATCAAAATTTTGTGAGCTTCTTTAATAATTTTGAAAAGCTGTTGATGCATTTATTCAAATACACATTACCTACAATAATTATCTTGGGAGATTTTAATATAAACATTGCAGATAATGGTTTTGCAATCGTACTTTTAAAGATTTAGTAACTTCATTTGGACTACAATTTGCAGTAAAAACATCAACCAGGGAAAGATCTCACTCTTCCAGTTTCATAGACAACATGTTTACAAATTTAGGTGAGAATGAGAATTAAGAAAAATAATGAAGTGTACTATGCTGAATCTATATGTTCACGTGTATGGATAAATATAAATATGAAACTTTGTATTATATATTAAAAAAAATGTATGTATTAAATTTTATATTAACTGTATTGTATGTATTTTTTTATATTCAGTGTAATTATTTGTATATTAATAGTATAGTTATAACCATTATTTTGTAATATAGTAGTCATCCTATTTTATGAGAAAATGTATTTATGTTAAAATATTTCAAATTTGTATTAGTCAATAGTTTGTTAAACTTAGTTCATGACATAATCTAAAATGGTATTTGTACTACCAAAGAACCGAAATAAATTATTATTATAAATTATTATTATTGTCTGTTTGTCTGTCTGCATGTAATGCCAGTCTGTCAGTGTTTGTACTGATCATCTGTTAGTCCATCTGTTCATCCATTTATTTGTTTATATGTTTTGTGTGTGTGTGTGTGTGTGTGTATGTGTGTTTGTTTTCATTTGTGGCTTGTTTGTGTTCATTTGTGTGCGTTCATTTGTCTGTCTGTTAATTGTCAGTTCCTTTAACTTTTCCAAATATTCCACAAAATATAAGAGAAAAATTCTACTATAAATTAATATTTGAACAAAAGCTCACATGCAAGAACATATATATGTATGTGTAGAAATCAAAACACCAAAATGAGTTCTGCAATATTTGTCAGCAGAACACATTGACAATTAAGCACAGATGGAAGAGTGTTACTAGTATGGAGTGAAAGATTGCACCCAGGACAAGGGAAAATTGGACGGAAAGGAAGGGTTATGGTTAAGAGAGGATGTGCACTTTGAATCTATGTTAATAAAATTAAAGAGTCTTTGATTTTAAAATAATTATCATCTCGTAAGCTCGTTTGATTGTTGTCTAGGCTATCCGGAACGAGCTGCGGCTCGCACAGCAGCACAGCAGTACACTCTGAAGAAGGCCACAATACGCAGGCCGAAACATTAGTCACCATGACATTGACGTGGCTCGTCCCGGATAGCCTAGACAACATAAACTCCGGCCGCGGAAGCCTACGCAACCAGCTCATTTGATTATTTACACAATATAAAAACATATATAACTATTTTTAGATTTGTTTTACCCTATTTTTTTTTAGTTAGTTAACTATTTTGGTTTTTGTTAATCCATGGTTTATTTATTAGGAATGACTCAATGAAAATTTAATTTTGAATGTTTCAATGTGAGATTTCCAATGAAACAGAATATTTTCTCAGATTTAATTTGGACTACTTTTTCTCATCTCACACAAGATATCAAATTCTGATTTTGGGTTACAATTGATGGAAATTGGTTAAAAATCCATTAAAAAAATTGAAATGAGTATGCAATACATAATACATTGAGGTAGGAACAAGATGATACAAGGAGAGTGATAGGGATCAAGCAGGATGGATGGAGCGGGACACAGCTGATATTTTAATTGTTTACAAAAATTATAGTTCACTTACCTGCACATGCCTTTTCTCCTGGAACTGATTTGAAACCATCATTGCATCTACAGTGATATGATCCAACTGTATTTTCACAAATTGAATTGCTAGGACAAAACTGGAAACGACATTTTGACTTGTGACATTTATTTTTATACAGAAGACTTAATAACTATTTAAAACAATGTAATTTTTATAAATTGGGAATTAGTTGCTCAAAAATACTAGAAAATGAGGAATAAAAATATTAATTGATAGTTATGTACTACATTCTGGTGCAAATTATCAAGTACATTGACATAAAGAAGTAGAAGTATATTATTTCTAGAAAAGTATTAAAACAAAAGTAATACCTGGCCTGGGAAATCAGCACATTCATCAACATCTTCACATTCTCTATTTTCATTAACTGTGTGACCAGGTGGGCATTGACATGTGTAACCTCCTTGGCGATTATGACATGTTTGCTGTGAAGTGCACTCATGAGTGCCAAGGGCACATTCATCAATGTCTGTGAATGGAAGAAATAAAATTCAGGAATGATTAATTAGCTGAAAAAATTCCAAATCCTCAAATCTGACGAGTCATTCACAATAAATAAATAATTTTTTCATAAAGGCAATGATCAAATGTTAAGAGCATTTTACCTATACACTGAGTACCAGCTTCATTCAACTGAAAACCTCCACCACAGTTGATTAAATTGATGCAGCGGAATGATCCTCTGGTGTTGATGCATCTCTGATTACGTCTGCATGGATTTTCTTTTTCACACTCGTTTATATCTAATAGAAAGTCAAGAAATTTATTTAATTGGAAGAATTATGCACAGTTACAAGGAAAATAGTATTGATTAGTAAAATGCTGGTAACTATAGGTAATATTCTTAGACATCAATAATCTTCACTACAAAACCTGCCAAGTTTTTAAAACAAAGAATTTTAGTTCAAAGTACATTACTTGAGTAAACTATGTACATCCTTATACCAGCCAGGTTGCAATTAACTTAATAAATAAATTATGTTAATTAATTATTATTGACACTATGAATTAAACTGCAATTTCACATTGCCTGTTTATTTTCTAATATATGAAAAATGAAACAAACTAACAGAAGAAAATAACAACTTTAAAAAAAAATATGCCAACATACCTACACAGGTTCCATAAGGACCTGGAATCAAACCTGGTGGACAAGTAACATCCTTACACTCTCCATTGTTTTGCAGTACTTGCTTTTCACCACAACGTTTCCTATCACACCGAAAAGAACCTGCAATATTGCGACACTGGAATGTTGGACCCAGGTTTTTGCAGTTATCTGTGCCAAGAAGACACTCATCATCATCTAAAACAAAAATTACCAATTATTTACTTCATTATTAAGACTATTCTTTCATTACTTGTACCACTAAGAAAATAACTACTTCGTAAACAAATCAACATATAAAAAAATAGAAGTAGTACCTATTATAAACAAAATGCAGTGGGCTAAATGGGGCAAAATTATGTAAAGAATGCAATAATGTGAAGTATATTTATACAGTACAAGAGTTCTTTGGATACCAAGAATATAAAAAAACTGCTTTAACGCAAACATAAGTAACAAATATTGAAAGGTGGATATCTTACTTTGATCCTTGCTTTTACACAATATCAGCTGTGTTCTAAGCAGTGATGCACTGAGTATGAAAATTCAATTGGTTTGCACAGAATGAGAATAGCTCGAATAAGAATCAAATATTTGCATTTTTCAATCAAAAACAAAACTGTTTCATTGGTTTTGGATTTTCCCTAAGTTTCTGACAATTGACTGAAACTATAGACACCTCTTGAATGGCAAGAGGCAGCAGCATTGTTTTCTTTCAATTTCTGTGTGTATTGGAAATGAGAAATACAGGTTATTTTATTTTATACAATTTTTTTCCACAGAAGTAAAAAGAAATACATTTTAAAAAATGGATGGTTCTGTGATGTAACAATAATTTAAAAATTATGTAGTAAAAATTTTATGTAATTAATTTATATTGTAATAATATTTATGTATGTAAAGTATTATATACAACAATATTTTAAGTGAGATGGCACAAAAAATGTTTAAAAATATTTATTGTTCATAGGCATTCACAAGCTATGGTGGTATAGTGGATATCATGCCTCCCTACTGATCCCAATTTTACAGGTTCAAACCAAGTCAAAGTCAAGGGATTTTTTGAGGTGCTAAAAATCAACGGTGTGCATGAAGACACTTGTCAGCATGTAAAACCATCCCAGGAAAGGCACTTGGTCAATTCTGGCAAAATTAAATCCTTTAGCAATGTAGCACCAATCAGAGGTTCGATTTGAATTACTGGATAAGAATGTAAATATTGTATCTGGTATTCAAATCAAACATCAAAATTGATGCACTAGTGCTCCTAGAGAAAGCAATGGCCAACTGGGGCTTCTGGAGACTATCCTACACACTAATCAGCTTATAGTATTAAAAGAGGAAGATAGACATTTAGAAATATAAAATGCACTAAATGTTCTTATGTGAAGTGGACGTTTATTGTAAAGCAATGCAAGATAAGGATAGTTGACTGTAGCAGCTTTACCAGTACATACTCTGATAAATATTCCTCCCTAGTGTATTATATTCATGGAAATATTTATGCAAGGTGAGATGTTGATTTTCCATCATTACAGAAAGTGTAAGCACATTGTATGCATAAAGAGCTACAAATGTCAACATTTTGTGTCGTATAATATTCTACACAAGACTCTCTTGTTGTAAGTTTAAAAATACATCCGATGCTTTTCTTTTGGGCTTTCATCAGACTGTTAAGTGAAGTATTGTAAAGTTTCTCCCCAAATTTCAATTCTATACTGCAAATGTGAATAAATTAGTACACAATATCAACTTTTTAACATTGCAGTACAGAGGTATTTATAAAAATATCTCAATAAGAAAATATTTGAGGTTATGGTGCTACACAATGAAACTGCATGCTTATTAAAGAATAAGTACTGTTTAAAGTATACCCCAAAAAATTCATGGCACAATATTTTTTGGACTGAGCCATCCCCAATAAGGACATTGAAATTATGCATCACACTGCTACGAGAGAGTTGAAAATTAATCTAAATTGACTTACTGATATTATGTTTTCAATTGTTATTTTTTATTTACCACCATTTTATGCAGTCATGTCCTCCATGGATTCAGTCACATTCCTTTCCAAAGAAAGTAAATTTTCCCCAGTGCTGATTAGGCAGGTGTCATTTGCATTTGATATTAATGAGTCCTTTTGGAGTATAGGCATATCATATATAGAATCAACCACAGAGGACCAAGAACTGATCTTTGCGAAACACCAGTTGATACAATTTTGAAGAAAAAGAGCATACCTTTTGAATGTATTTGGATGATTCCCAAAAGATTTAAGTGCATTGCTTGTAGTTGACTAAGTAGGATTCGATTAGTTCATTAACTATCTACATTTCAATTATTATGCACACTCATTTACATTTATTATGAATTGGTTTATTCTAAGTAGCATAAGTTATAGACATTATGCTTTTCGTTGAAAATCATCATCATTTAAAAAAAAAAAAATAGTCGAGATTTTGTAGGCTTCCGCTGCCAGAGTCATGATCTGGGCTGTCTGGGTGACGCTGCGTCGAAGGCTGAAGTGCCGACGTTTTGACCGACACATATCTTGGTCGTCTTCAGCAGCTCTGAAGGACTAAAGCCCTGAAGAAGACCAAGATATGTTGGTTGAAATGTCGGCACCTCAGTCTTCAACATGGCATCACCTGGACAACTCAGATCGTTTGTAATGTACTTGGTAGAAATGAATTTCTATACTAAATAATAGAGGATATTAAAGATTTGCATATTTAAAAATCAAAATTTTTATGAGTCAGTTTTTAGCATTTTTGCTTATTTCATTAAGAGAATTTTAGAACATATGTGACAGAAATTACTTTCATTTATCGACAGTATTAAACTAAATGCATATCTTTTTTCCTTAATTTTCTACTAAAAATTTAGAATTATGTGTATTAGAGGAAATAAGATTTGTAATTTAGATTTGCATATTAAATTCAAGTTCATGACGCATCTCCTTGATATGTATTATTACAATAAGGATGATACACACCTCAGTACATATATCACAAACAAAAAATTAATTTATAACTTACCTTCACATTGACCTGTTTGAGCATTCAGTGTGTACCCCGTGCCACAACTGGTAAAACGAATACACTGATATGAACCAAGTGTATTGTCACATCTCTGACTAGCTGTGCACTCATGCTGATTTGTTTGACATTCATTAATATCTACAATAAAAAAAAGTTGTGTTGTTAACATTATTCTCATATTATAATTTTTTAAATAAATGATCAATGAAATAATCATGAAAACATGAATTGGAGAGCTTCGTACCTACACAAGCTCGTACATGAGTGTCAAACTGGAAACCAGGTTTGCATTTGCATTCATAACCACCAGGCAGATTAACACAAATCTGATTCACTTCACAAGGTGGTTGAATACTCTCTGAACACTCATCAATATCTGAAGAACAATGTACATTATTTAAAATATATGTATTACTGTGAAAACTTAATTCTATTTCCATTAAACTTACCAACACAAGTGTTTAAAGTTGCATGACTTTTGAATCCAGGTGAACACGATATAGATCTAGGTCTTGGTTGACATCTATAAGCTCCTCGTTCATTAATACAAAATTCCGATTGGTTGCATAAATGAGTGCCATCAGCACATTCATCAATGTCTGCATTTAGAAAATTTTAAGCCTATTACTTTTTATGTTTAAAAGTACATTATGTTCTCAATAACTAGTATGATAAGTACTGAATGCTAGATGTGTGCATTTGTATATTTATACTAATTGTGACTTTATAGGAATGTAAGAGTATGAATATGACAATATGTTTTACATAGCGAGTTGCATGTAAATTAAGTATGTTTGCATCATAAAAATTAAAAAATATATATATTTGTACAATTGTTTAATTTTCAGGAGTTAAACAGATTGTGAGAGTTTTCTTTGATATAGTTCACATTTTAAGTGTACAAGGGAAAATGATACTTGACTCATGCAATATTTTCCCAAAATCCAGTCAGACACAACATGCATAAACATGCACTAACATTGTCCCTTCACCAAGAAAAGCAATAACTCAACAAAAAAATGGATCATAAAGAGATAGCTGCCTTATCTGACAAATATAAACAGGATCTCCTGAAAAAAGATATGATAATTAATTACTAGACTTGTTAAAACCAAGAAAATTAACGAAACCATTAGCATTCATCATTTGAATTCATCAAAATTAATTTGTGCAAAAGATTGGATTGTTGAAATATTAAAAGAGTGTTACATTGAATAAGGAAAGAGTTAGATTTGAGTGTACATCATGGGCTATAACAAGAATAAGTACAACATTTTAAAATTTAAGTAAGCTTCAGAAGGAATATTCACAGCAGAATGCAGAATATATAGCAAACAAAACAGAAAATGCAAAAAAATTTGGTACTGCATTAACTGATAATTCTAAGTGTTTATGATTACAAATAACAACAATAACAGCAATAATAATAATAATAATAATAATAATAATAATAATAATAATAATAATAATAATAATAACAACAACAACAACAACAACAACAAAAACTATAAGAAATTAATTATTATAATAATAATTAATCAAAATTCAAAAATGTGACTTGTCAAAGTATGTAATCAGGGTACCCTTGAGCTAGAAAGCAGCTATTCCATTAACAGTGAGAGGAAATTATAGGAACACAAACAAGCTGCTTATAGACAACATTCTTGGGACATCAAAAGGTGTGGAGGGTACTCTTACCTGAGGCTGCCTGCATGGCTCCTTTAGAAAAAGAGATAGAAGGTCTGGTCTAGCAGCCCCAAGGAATAAGGTTCTTGGACTAAGGCTATTCAAGCCAAAGTAGATAAGACTATCAGGTATGGCAAGTGCAGATTATGCAAACAACGTGTAATGTTGGTGTAATGTGAGAAGCCTTGTATCTCCTTAATTTAACTGATATTGGAAAAAGTATCTAAATAATATCAGAGATTGCCACAAGGATGTGGCACCTCCACTGTCCCACCAATGAGTGGGGGGGGAATAGAATAATTAGCATGATTTTTCTGAGCTCAAAAGGAGTAGCTGACACTATCCTTACCTTAAATACAAGCTTCTTATCTACACCTTTTTTTTCCATGATCCATGAGAGCCAATGAGTGGATTAAGCCCAGAGATTTCTGTTTCAGAATTTTTTCGGGGTCTTCCTACAAGTATTATGATGAAGATAAAGATTTTTTCCCTTAATGAAATATGATCCTTAATGATAGATTTTGAAATAAAATCATGTACAATTTTTCGAAAATTTGATTACTTTTTGTGTAATTTTGCGTGAAAGTGCGTGCAAGAAAGTAGGCTACATGCTGTTTTAGCACCACTAGTTGCCATGAGAAACACATATGCAGTTCACTTAAACCCACCCTCCAAACATGTGGTAATGAACCTTTGAAAGAGATCTGCAGCATGAAAACCTTTTTGAAAGCAACGATGAACAGAAGTTGAGAGAAGTTGTCATGAAATAAATGTGCAAACCAGTATGGGAAGAAATTATAATCGTTATTCCTCGCATCAAGAAATATCCTAATTAACTTGGACCCATCCCACTAGGAAACTCCACTTATTAACTGAATACATTAAAAAAGTGGATTAAAGTGGAATAAATCACACTTCATAAAACATGATATGTTGCCAATAATCATGAAATTGGGTCCACCTTTTTCTAGGCCCACCTTTTTCACTCAAGTTTTTTATTTATATTTATGGCATATTTTACTAGTAAATGAATAAAATATTCTTTAAAAAATGAAATTAAAACTTTAATGAATACCTTATGAATTATCCAATTAAATAAATCTTAATTAAAAATTATACAATTAATTACATCATAATAAACAGAGTTTATTTTGTGTTAAATTTCAAGAGAATTTCCAGATGACTAGAAAATCCTCTTCCTCAAATGTATAAAATTTCCCCAATTGTCATGTTAAGAGAAGGAGAAAAATCATGGAATGAATACATTTAAGTAAATAAAAAGTTTTCTTGTAAAGCAATTGGGGAAATTTTATACATTCTCTATTTTATATCCCTTTCAAAATGTTTAGGGAGGTCATGCCCCCCTCCCCAGTGTGTGCACACCTATGAGTATACTTATTATAATTTCACTCTCTCTCTACGTTAAGAATTCCCAAAATTTTTGTATATCTGAAAATAAAATTTCGTTACCTTTTTAAATTTCACAAACACTCATGAATACTTTGCTGATTTATGACTTTAAATCATACTGGCACTTTATTCATGCTAAATATTATTTTTCTGTTTCTATATACAAGTCAATTAAGAAATATATACCTTCACAGCGGCCCTCTTGAGTTCTTCTATAGCCTGATGGACAGTTGGCTGCAGGAACACATATAAAACTACCATTTGTATTCTGACAGCTGGAAATAAAATGTACAACTCAGAAACATTATTTATTAAATTAACATTTATAATCATCTAAAAAATAATGTTTGATAATATGACCACAAAATGATTCTGAAATTTATTTCTTACCTTTCATAAGGTTTATGACAAGTATCTAATTTTTCATGACACTCGTCAACATCAATACATTGTGATGTTATAGGATCAACTTTATAGCCCACAGAGCATACAGGAGTACATGAAAAGCCACCCTCTTCATTTAAACAGAGCTCTCCTGGACTACACTCATGAGTACCTTCCATACACTCGTTCACATCTTTGCAAAACACACCATTAATTAACAATGAAACCCTATGCTAACTAGATAGAAGGGTGATAATTACATTTTTATTGTAAGAAGTAATTTTGTATCACCTACAGCTTTGTATTAATTAGAGAATTGATGCAACAATTCAAAAATGTTGATAACAAGTAAATTATTGTTAATGACTATTTCAGTGTGTCCTTCGGTTCATCCATTGGTCTGTCTGTATTCCACAATAGTGGCAAAACCATTCACCCAATTTTTTCCAATACTTGGTATTTCTCAATCAATTTAAAGAACTCAGGACCCTCTAAGTTAGAAATGCATTTTTTTTGGGAGGGGGGTACTTTACATGAAGCCTCAAAGACATTTTCACAAAAATGGCTCCAAATTGTTTTTATTAACCTTTGTCCTCGGATAGCATAAAGGATGCTTAAAAGAATGGTACAAGTCTCATTTTTGTTAAAATCCCCAATTTTTCAAAAAGTGCAAGAGTTCAAAATTTTTGGTGTCTTCCTACACCTACAATATTGAAGACACAGATTTTATAAAATTTGTTCTTTAAAGACAGATCATCAAACAAATTCATGTACAATTGTTCAAAAATATGAATAAATTTGTGTAATTTTGCATGAAATGAAGACAACTTTTAAACAATATTTTTCTCAAAAAAAACTTCAAATTGTTTCTTTAGATTTTCTCTTCATATGTATCAAAGGATGGTAAAAAGATTGGTGCTAGACTCATTTCTGGTGAACACTTTTTTTGAAAATTGCAAAATGTTAACAATTCAAAACTACAAAATTAAAGACAGATTTTTGTCTTAAAATAAGTCCTAAAAAATCAGCTTTTTAAAAAGGTCATGTGCAATTTTTTGAACAAATTAGTAGTTTTCATGTCACTTCTGCTTGGAGTTCATGAAATTGATAAAAAAAATCTCAAAACCACTCCAAAAGTTATTCTTTAATTTTTTCACTGACAAAACAAGGGACCTTAAAAGAATGGTGCAGGTTCCATTTTCATTGAACTCTCGGAATTTTCAAAAATGGCATATTGGAAAAAATGTGGGAGGCAATTAGATTTTTAAGCATTGGCCTGTGTGAGTATGGAAGAGTGACTGCAAGATAAAGCAGTAAAGTACATAGCAAGTTAACTCGATGAACCTGAGTTCAAGTCTCGAGTGCGGTAAAAAAATTTACTGGTTGGAAACACTTTTGCAGATCCATGTGGTTGTATAATATTACAGAGCCATTACAAATAATGTGAGAAAGTATGTGTTGTAGGACCTCTAGTTTATGTTATTCCTCCTCTTCTGAAACAAGAATTCTGTTTATATTAAATATGCAAATTCATTAGATTGGTCTCTTGTCATTGTTGATTTTAATCAGATTTTAATTCTATACAAGGTGGAGAATGGATGCTATACACCACAAGGAATGCATGGTACAGCAAGGGAAACGTCACCTCGGAATTAATTTTAGAAGAGTTAAAGTCAAAAAAATGTGTAAAGTATACTTTATAGTTTATTTTATATGAAAGAGGCTAGAAGTTCAGAGATTTAAGGAAGGGGTGCTACTAGTCTTATTCACCCCTACAGGCTACACCCATGGACTGATAGTTTCTTCCTGACAAATTATTAATTTTTTAACAATGAATAATAAGTAAAATTATGCTAACAACTTTAACATTGCTATTACATAATTAAACACATTATTGTTCTGTTAATCTGTGTGCCTTCTGAATTTGTGAGGTAGGTAAATAAGGAAAAATAGGTCAACTTAAGTTTTTGAGTCTCTTTTCAATAATTATTTATTCTTAATCTCTAATTTTGTTACCTTCACATTTCATGGTTGATCTGTTGAACACATATCCTGCAGAGCATTTCAACATAACTCTGCAAATGAATCCGCCTCTGATATTCACACATTCCTCATTATCTTCTACAGAGCAGTTGTGAAGATTTGTCAGGCATTCATTGATATCTATAGAAACATTTAATATTCCACTGTAGTAACTTCTTTCTTGTAGTCAGCCAAGTCTGTCTCATTCCATCATGTTTACACACTAAAGTGTAATTTATTGTGAAGTGCTTGTCCTTCTCTCCTTAAGAAGATTATATAATCTCAAAAGTGAAACTTGTTTAACTTGATTAAATTCTTGGTTAAATGGTTAAGCAGTATCTCAAATTCTAAATGTCGTTTTAGAATTCAAGCACTTGTATTGTGATCAAATGTTTAAATTAAGTTTCTGGGGCTGAATAGTTGAGTCTGTTCACCTAATTATCCAACTAGTTTCCGTTCACTAACCTGTTCCTAACTAGTTTCAATCTGGTAGGTACCACTTTTATTTTTAAAACATTTCTTTTGGGACTCTTAAAACATTTCTTTCATTCACATGGTATCCTCAGAAATTTACAAGGTCAAAAATAGTTTTTAAATAATCATTTACATGCTATTGTTAAAGTACGTGATCCTGCAGAAGAATGAATGTAAATTGAGTAGTTGGATGGAAGAATGGCTTACCCCTGGTATGGACATTTTCCCATTTCTTGGCTTATAATGTTCATTATAGTTCCATTTAAAGTGCAACATCCTTTTTCTTTTGACCTTTTAGAACTTCAAATTCATGATACTATAATACAGGGGAATATAGAGTACAAGAGTTTGCAAAGAAGCCTTTGCTCCAATGAACTTCTTGTAATGTTTTATGTAAACTACTCCTGCACCAATACATTATGCTGCTTAAATTCACTAGTTCAGTAAATCTTTTAATTTATTACAATTACATTAACTCAGGAGTTTTAAGTCAGATTTTTCTTGTGTTGCTAATATTGTAGTGACTATTCCACTTGTGAAATTAAAATCAATGGTGTTGAACTATACATACAAAATGCCCCCACCTATGTATTATAACATGACCTCTTTAATTTTAACATATTTTCAATATTTTGTGCATTTTGGATGCATTGGAAATTCTCAGATAAATCCCCTAAGCACTTCACAAGTTGGGGATTTATCGACCATTTCTAAAGCACTCGTGGTATAAACCTGTGACAATTATTATACTGGCCTAAATGATAATGAATGATAAAAAAGAACCTTATCCTGAAAACTTGCTTTTAATGCAAATCAATTTAGTATTATTTTCTGATATAAAATAAGCACGAAGGAGGATATAGTTATGTAACATTAGCACCTCCTGTAGTTTTTGAACGGTTGAAGTTATGTATTGCAATGCAGTCTTCATTGATGCTCACAAGGAAATGGGGTGAATTGATACATGTATTCACTTCTATTTTATCACTTGTATTTTACGGGATATTGAGGTTTACTTTGTTTTTTAAAATGGAAATATACATATTTTTTGTCTATCATGAGCGTAAAAAGACAAATCCAATGATATACATATTGTCATATGTTAGATAAGCATTTTTTGAGTAATTTTGAATTTTTTGCAACTGTTGTTTAATGGATATTTTGAATGTAACAGCCCACCACATAAGGTCACAGAGTGCTTCCTCTGCTAATGTGTGCTTGGGTAAGGAAAGCTGATGGAAGTACTTGAAAATATGAAACGTATTTCAAATCTTCACAAAACTGTTTCAATTTTTTCCTGAATTCTGCTCTTCAGCCTTTCGCATTTTCAGATATTTTGTCTCAATAATTGAAGGATTGAAAATAAGGTGTTGTCATGAGCATATATTGAAATATACTTAATAAAACATTCAAACTTACTGATCTTTGTAGGTACCTCCTATGGGCTTAAAACCAGCAGGACCCACTGCTTTCGTAGATATTAAACACTGATAACTACCAATAGTATTGACATATGAACTAAGGCAATCACTGTTCCCAGCTTCACATTCATCAATATATGCAGATTTAGCATTGAACACTGATATATATAAGTTGAAAGAGAATGCCAGAGTTTTCACAAAGTGATTGCACATGGTGACAGTTTCAAATTTTTGCCTAAACATCCAAGAAGCATTGAAAGACAAAATTATCACTAAGACTTAAGAAACATTCTAATAATAAAAGTCATAAACAATGGAACTATTACTCCTTACCTAACCAAAAACTATGCTGGGGTTCATCATTGACCCCTTCCCTAATTGGTGACTGTTAAGACATACTAACATGACATTTATGTTACATATGTACTTCATGGCACTTATATTGTTACATTTATATTACAATGTACTCTCTTTAAATCTAATGGCTATGTGTTTTCAATGAAATTAATAACATAAATGTACTGCATGGCAAATTACCTACCAATGAAGGAAATATGATAAAATCACACATGAAAACTTTAAACTTATTTTCTCAAAACTGGGGTTAAGTCATTCTTCCAACAAGCTCCTCAAAATAAGGTTTTAGAATAAGTGATACCTTGCAACTATTTGGTGAAATAACACATGAAAAACAGGAGAATAACCCAAAAAATCCATAAATAAATCAATATATGGAGCTATATATAACATAACATGAAAGCCTGAAAAGAATCTTTTTGAGATTTTTGGATGTATGGCCATCCCAATTCTACTATATCAGAGTTGTCCAACAAGCAGCCCAAGGGCTGTATGTAGCCCACAGCGGCATTTATTGTGGCCCACAAAAGGTAATTAGTCAAAAGTGAAAATCCCTTGTTGTCGTGTCAGGAGAGAACATTGCAAATCTAGCACACATGCCCTGCTGGGGTCAATACTTGCTTAATGTAAAAATAGCTTAAGTTTAGAGTTAAAGAATTGTTTTCTAGTATATTCAGAAATTCGAAATCATCCTAATGTGTTTCCCTGTGTTGTGCATGGTAGGGCTGGATAACACCCATGGTTCCATTCCCCCACCCCCACCCCCTACTCTTAAGAACTGGTAAACGGCCGAGACCAATGGGTTAAGTCATGTGTGGATCGCCTGAGTTAGGAAAATATGACCCGCAACCATATTAAAGGTATTAGTTGTGGTACTTGAGGCCTTGCAAGTTGGACACCCCATAATATATGGACACAAAACTTTGGTCCAAAAAGCAAGATTTTAAAAGAATTGAATCAGCAAATGAGATTTCTTAAGATATCAAATAGGAAGTGAAGGTATATGAAAAGAATTGAATGAAGAGGTAACTAAATTAGAAATATCTCTTTTCTAAAATGCACTTACCTAAGCATGTTTTTCTGTCACTGCTGTAACTGAAACCAGATGGGCAGCCTTGTTGGTTATCTAGAACATTAGGCTTCAACATGTTTACATTAGGAGGTTTCGTGGGATCACATCTATAATGTCCTATTTCATTCACACATTTCTCTGATGTGTCACATGCATGTAGCCCTTCTGAACATTCGTCAACATCTGAAAGGGAAAACAATAAGACAATAATATTTAAATTTAATAGCAATTGCTACCAATTTCTAAAATAATGTTTTCTAAAGAATTTAAATACAACATTCAAACCTACTGACCTTTGCAGGTACCTCCTGTGGGCTTAAAACCAGCGGGACACACTGCTTTTGTAGACATTGAACATTGATAACTACCAATAGTATTGACACATGAACCCGGACAATCATTGTTCCCGGTTTTACATTCATCAATATCTGTAGATATGGAGATTTTTCTTAATAACGGTAAAAATTACAAGAAATATGGTGAGAATCAAAGACACTTGTGTCACTTTATATTATATTGTTTTCCAGAAAAGAAAATTCCAGACTTACCATTTTAAAAAAAGATGGTAACTTCTATTATTCAATAACTGAAGTGTATTTACTCTTGGTCTGATTTACACTTATTCTGAGACCAAAAGTTGTATAGAGGCTGAAATTTTAGCTTTTGAACATGCAATAAGAAATACATGCATAATTATCTTCAAGACATGCATAAAATGAAAGAAAAAGATACATCAAAGAAGCATGCAACACAAATATTAGTTCCTTAACAGATCTACAGAAATGAATTTACATTTGAATCTTTTAAAAATACTTGCTGGTACCTAAGCCACTACATACATAACATTTTTGACATGGCAAATCTAATGAATTTTACAGTCATACAATCACAATTATAGCAGAAAGTAGATATGAAGCTATAATCATTTTGAGTGCCAAATCATCACTGCACAAAACAAAGTAAAATACATGAGAGATTGAAAATGTACATAATTTTTTTGAATATTTTTTATCCACATGTTTCATAGGAAATATGCCAAAAATGGTATCGTTGGATGTAAGATAATGGTCAGGTACTGCTGACAGAAGAATACCATTGATTTCAACCATTGACAACCCATTTACCTACCTGAATAACACTAGTGAAGCTTCACCGTCAATGGAATTACATGCGACCAACAATAAATTCTGCCTGCTTTAACTACTGGAATGTTTTGATTTGCTGAATGAGCTCACAAGATGTTCTAAGATGTTAGGAGTGGAAATCTATCTCATAAGTCTATCAGGAGCCCTGGTAATCCAGTCAGAAGTTTTTTCTCTTTTTTTACTGATAACTACATTTCTTTGTATTACAACTACATTAGTCAAAGTCAGTAGATAATGGTATTAATGTAAATACTTATGGTTCAAGAATAATATTTTCACTTATGTACAAAATAATGTTTTTGGAGCTGCTGATTTCAGAAAAATAAGTGAAAATCAATTACATGTTCATTCATCAATGAATAAAAATATCTAGATATGGTAATTCCATAAGATTAGAAAGGAAAAGTATTACAGAATAGAAAAAAAAAAAGAAATGTATTTAATGGATTAAAAATGAGATATATTTTAATTTAAATGGTTAGTTTAAAATTACAGTTTCAAAGTTTGTAGTTATAAGGAATTTACATTCAAAAGAGAGTTTTATTGACAGCAGCTTAGAAAATGTTCTGTTTTGGAGACATTTTAAACGATATTATTAATAAATTTTTTCACTGTAAATAACATACCAACACAGGTCCTGAGGGCACGACTATACTGGAAGCCCGATAAACACAGCATGTCACATTCATAAGCTCCCACAGTATTTCGACACATTTCTTTTTCAGGAATACAGCTATGGATATTCTCAGCACATTCATCCACATCTATAGTTTTGAAAATATTAAATGCATGTGACAATCTGCATAATAGTTAATTAGAGTATTATTTTAAAGGCACATCATGAAAATTTTAAGAATTTGGTTGCAGTCAAATTTCTTCATCTTTGAAGGAGTTTTGAAATTGGGAAATAAATCATCAGGCAAATGTTTAATTTATTTTTCATAACATTCCTCATAATGGTCTGAAGCATAAAATCATTTCTGGCAATATTTAATTGAATTAGGTAACTAATCCTTTTTTTAAACAAAAATAAAGGAACAAATACTGCACTGAATGCACACATATTATCAGAGCAAGCTTGGACAAATGAACAAGACTTATAGAACCCAAGCAATACAAAAAGCATAAAGCAACATTCACTTACTAAGAAATATATCTACATAATGTTACAAATACTTAAGGAGAGATATTAACAACGTGCAAACCACCAACTTCAAAATAATACCTAATACCCAATTTTCAATTAAGTTTCATAAGAAGTGAATTGTACATTAACACTTAAGAATAAAAATTCTGTTTACCTTCACAAGTGCCAGGCTGTGCACCAAGTTTATATCCAGCAGGACAAGAAGGTTTCTGAGTTCGTGTTTGACAAGTAAAACTACCTTCTGTATTTAAACAGAATTCTGTTTGGGAATCACAGTTGTGGAATCCTGCTTCACATTCATTTATATCTAAAACACATTATAATAGCAATACTTTTTAGGTAACAATTAACTGATTAATACATTTTAAAACTAGTGCTGAACATGAATATCAGTTTTACTTCAGTGATGTTTTGGAATTACATTTCTGTAGTAAATGTGTTTTCTTGTGGGGAAAGTAGAATGAAATAATTAAATATAGACCAACAGTAATTGGAACAGATTGTTTTTTCCTTCTTAAATTACTTTTGAATCCTAATACATTTTGCATAGTTAACTTTGGTGTCTCTCATGCTGTCATGAAATGCTGGTTTGAGAACAATACAAGATGATATACATTGTGAACGTCTGATTACAGAGTAATGAATAATTATTGTATCAATAATTGTTTAATGGAAAATAAAGATTCATTTTAACAAATTAAATTTAATATAAATATATATCACTTTATCATATGAGATTTACTGGTAATTTACAATGAAAAGAGAGTTTTATTGGCAGCAGCTTAGGAAATGTCCGATTTGGAGAAATTTTAAGTTATATTATTAACATATTTGTACATAGGCCCATATTAACATTTAAAATCCATGAAATTCATTAAATCCAAGAGAAATTTGCTGGTATCATTCTCTTTTGCCTTTCTCATGCCTTTCTCTAAGACTCATGTAAGGTCAAGGAACTGTTATTCATTTTCTTAAGGTTGCTTTTTATCGACTGGTTATGTAGAAAGCACTTTGATTTTGTTTTCACTTTGGGGTAACTGTAGGGGAAACACGATATGTAAGGACTACACAATGACATAAACAAACACACCCATGCCTAAGGCGGGACTCGAACCCACGATCCTTCCATCCAAGATCACCACTGCACTACTGCCTTAGTGATCTCAGCTATCAGGATCAGCTGTTATTCATTTTCTCTTCCAAAGACAACAACTAAAAGATGTTGAAATGATCACTTGCTTCATCCCTGAACAAAAGTAATAATTTCCACTCAAATATTACATACAAATGTACACTTGTAAATAAATTAATTAAAAAGTAGTCCAAAATTTCAGACATTAGAAAAAATGTAGATAAGAAAACAAAGAAAAGGGATGTACAGAAGTAAGAAGAAGAAAATGTAACCCTACCAGGAAAACCTAACTGTAAGTCAGTAAACATATTTTTACATACATGAGAATACAGCTTGTAGAATAAAAAAATGACACAGTGCTAATGAAATATATCAAAAATGAAATCCACCCTTACATCCAAAATCAGTATGACTGAACTGATGATTAGAGCATGAAAAATATCTTAATTTTGTAGTTAGTTTGTAGTTAGTTTTTTTAATAATCAGGGCAATTGGAATACCATTTTTTTTAAACATATGAGAGATGAATACTCAATATTTACACAATTTCTTGAACAGACATAATTTTCTGCAATAACTTACCAACACAGGTTTTCTCTACAGAACTGAATTCATATCCTGGAGGACATCCTTCAGCTGGTGAGCAAGAATACGAACCTATGGTGTTTTGACAGACTACATTTGAGCCACATATGTTTGGATTTACAGTGCACTCATCAATATCTGTATAAGAGAAAAGTTTTTAGGCTATAAAACAGTACCACACATTAATTTCAGAATAGAACACTAGTAATGAAGATATTTCAAATTTAACAATATATTGTAACAATACAAACATTATGAAAATAAGTTTCTTCTTGGATTACTATCACATATGAGCTCTTTATTAAAGTTACTGTTTAACAGTAATGTTAAAATTTTAACTTAATGAGCATCAAAATGGGAGAATAAAAACTATTTTTCCATTGGCGGGGATTCGCAAAAATCAAACGCAATACTAAATGTCCTTAAGACAGAACAAATAAAAGGTTTTGTAGTTACATATTCTTAAGTGATAATTTCTGCTGTGAAGTACAAAAACAATATATTTTACTTTTGACATGCTTTTACTTGACAGGGTACATCTGGCATATTATATTAGAGAATAAGCTTAGTATCTACACATTGGGACTATTGTATTGCATAAAAAAATGCAATAATTTTCCAGTTGAGATTGCAGTTCATATGGACAGTGACTGAAGAGTCATTATATTGTACATGCTAATACTGGATAAATTTAGTTATCATTTGTTTCATTAAAAAAGTGTTGTGTTTTGTGGTTCTGAGGGAAGTATCACTTTATCACTTCAACTGTCTTTCATCTTAAGAAAAATTCCAAAATAATAAATAAAAACAATCCTCCAAAATATTTTATTACGAAATAGGATCCAAATACAAATACTGTAGAATGTCAATTTAAGAGAACCTACGTTTTAGAGAATTCTGCTTTGAAGAAATTTGTGAGTTGCCTAAGAGTCCCTATATATAAATTATGAGCATTTTCTTCCCACACGCAAGAGACTTTTAAGATTCATACCTGTAAGAGACAGAAATTTAAGTACCCAGTTGCCTCTTATATCAGGATTCTAGGTAATTTAATCATTGCATTCTGTAATTACTAGGGATATTTAAGTGTTAGAAAATTGTCCACATATGCCGTTGAGAAATTATTAAAAAATATATTTGTTTTACATATGTTTTACTATTTACTTGATTAAATTAGACTTGATAATTGATGTTTTTATAATTGTGATGTATATTGCAATGAATGAAGAGAAAATATGTCAAAGTAACTGCATGACTAATAGCTCAATGTTTCACTGAGGAATATTGTAAGTTAAAGCTTCCAATTAATTTAAATATTTCAAAATAAAAACGACCATAAACTTAGAAGAAGGAGTATTGTAAGACCTTCAATATGTAAGAGAGACAAAGGAAATGAATCATGCTTTTTTACTTTGAGGGCAGAGAAAGAAATGCTCTAAATGCATATTTCATGAATACTTTCTACCACTTCTTCTTGAACAAAACATGGAATAACAACCATACTAACTTATTTTGTTAATGTCAATGTTCAGAATTCTTTGTTACCTGCAACACATATTAACCCTTCAACATGGAATGCTTAAGACATGTTTGTTTTATCCCTATTTTCATGCATTCCCACCTATACATCAACAGATTTTTACCCTGTGTGACTGGATACTATGTAGAGTCTAAAGGTCACCTTAGTAGTGCTCTGAAGTGGCTACCTTATGCTTTGCTGACCTAATAACTCCCTTTCCCTTCACCAACATTGAAACGCTACCATCGCCAACCTGGGTTCCACTTTGAAGGGTTAACATTTCATGTTCAACAAGAATTCTTATCTGTTCTAAAACAAAGAATATGATAGAAGTGTTTTAACAATCCTATACAAACCATCACAAACTGAAGATTCCAAATTATAATGAAATCCTGTTGGACATTTTGTTGATTCTCTTCCTTCTGAAGAGGATATGGGAAATTTATCTGAAAAATTAATTTTATATCAAAATCTACTTGGAAAAAGGGAAAAGAAAGAAGTTTGAGATATTTTCTTAGCTTCCCTGCAGCTCAAGAAATTTAAATTTCACAATGTATGCCAAAAACAAATGATAATTGGGAAAAGTAATATAGTAGAACAATGACACATGTTCATATTTTTTGTGATTTGACTTTAATTCCTTAAAAAACATTTAATAATTCTACTTTAGAAGTAATTGTATATGAAAAATAGACTTACATGAAGTACTACTTTTTCAAAATTTACCTGTTGGATTATGTAGTTGTGGGGGCTTAATTACATCACCTTCAGAACTGACACATGAATAACTTCCATTTTCATTTTTACAAATCAAATTGTTTTCTGTACATAAATCCATTTTCAGTGCACACTCATCAATATCTACAGAATGAAATTTAAAAAAATTGTATAAAAATGCAAAATTGATAAATTATTGGTAATTAGACACCAATACTCACCATCACAACTAGTTTCATCTAGTGCCAAAGTATAACCTGGAGCACATGAACATTCTATAGAGAATCCAGTGTCCAAACACTTTTGTTCACATGGATTGTTTGTTTTACACCTACAAAATCATATTAGAAACAATTAGGGAAAACTTGTTTTATACCAACATTATAAATGACCTTTTCCATTACAAGAATATAAAATTTTGTTTATAAAATGGCATTTCATGGCACAGTCTATCTTCCCTCCCATCTTCCATGCCTGTCATCACTGCCTGTCCTCACTATCAGTCCACACTGCCCATCTTCCCAGCCTGCCCTCCTTGCTGTCCTGCCCGGTCGACATCCCTGTGTAACACCACCAATGTTAACCTGCTCCCTGCATAACAACACCAACAACTGCAAATCTGCTTTTGAAATTTGTATCCAAAATCAATTTTTGTTCTTTCATAAATTTATAATGCTGTTATAAAAAAGGAAATATACAACTCATTTATAATATTTTATTGCATTTGCACAAATTTGAAAACCAGGTTCTCATGTCGCTAATTTTTAAAACATACTTATGCAATAAAGCATAACATTATAATCTAGTTGCATAATATACTGTTATTACATCTGAGAACAGCAATAAGAATTATCTTAAAGCTACTGAAGAGAAAAAAATTATGACCATTCTATTTTATTGAAATTTCCATCTACTTTACATCATTACAAGATTACAAACACAAAGAAGAAAATTCTTGCATTAATTACTAGAGACACAGCGTTTGTTTTATTGACTCTAGAAAAATTCAATTATTTTAAATACTTATTGTATTTAAAATACAACACTATGAAGCAAAGAAAATCACATATGAAACAAAAGCATGACCTCGGACATGAAATACAACTAATGGTAGAAATAAGAGTAGCAAAATTGTGCAAAATATTTACAAAATCCAAGCCAATCAAAAAGTCAGAAATAGAAAGAATCCAGGAAAAGATGAAATGAACATCAAACTCATTAATTATGAAGGAAGAGATCTGAAAACAATAATTATTTTCATATTCCTAATCCATATTCTGTGAAGAGTTGTACCGAAATTATTTTGGAACAAGTCTTCAATAGAATATGGACAATATTTGATTTCAACACAATGACAAACACGTTTGATAAATAATGTACAAACAGGAGCAAAAACTGATGGTAACAACTAGAAACAGATAATACAACTACTAACCACCTCCAAATTAATTGCAAACATTCCATGAAATAGAATAAATAAATACATTGAGAACTTCATGAACAATTATTGAGCAATTCATGAGCCAATTAATAATTCATAATATGACAGTCAAGCCAACACTTTTACAGCACAGAAACCTGGACCCTGAAACAGAGGTATAACTTCCAAAGCTAGCTGGAAGCTCCACAAGACGCTTACAACTCTGCTTTTTCACAACAGTATCCATGAAGCAACAAAGAAAAATCTCAAGAAAATAAATATAACAGAGGAAGTTAAAAATAATCAGAAGAAATTATTAGAGGATATTAAAGGAATGAAAGAAGGAAGAGTGTCAAAGGCTGCTGAACCCTAAAATACCACTGTTGCAATATATTACTTGTCATAAGTGATGATTAAAATTTACTCACTCGAAAAGTGAACAATTTCTACAAGGAAAAAGTTCTAAATTAAATTAATTAGTAATTACAATATCACTAAATAACTTAATTATTCGAGCAGAGTTCACACCAGATATGTGAGAGCCAGATCATTTCATTTCTTTCTTCAGTAAAAGAGTAATACGATCCATTTTTCCTTATATCTTCCTATATTATTTATAGTTATATTACAGCATCATAAACAATGAAAGTTTTCTAATGGGTTTAGAAGAATAAACATTTTGAGATGTGCTGGATAAATTGTGCCATTGTAAATCCAATGCAAGCATGGTGTGACAAAATGTGAACACTGTTTCAAACAATTATGTTCTTTTAAATCAAGGTTTAGCGATATCAATTGGTGTAATAACTGTTTTAAAAAAATTATATTGTGCCTTTATTGCAACAACAACTCTTAGGCATCCATTGGGCATCAAGCACACATGGAGTAATCCTCTGTGAAATTTTGTTTTGTCTCATAGCTTCGCAACCAGTCATTGTCCCTTTGGCCAGGTGCTTGGTGCTATTAATAACCAGGTTTCCCAGATGATCACTCACCCAATAATCTTCCATGACTTCACATAGCGTAGTTAAGCAATTCTGATAATAATGTCAGCTTTTTCACATTTTGAGTTATTATGACTAACTGAAAAATATATATTTTAAATATTTTTTAATGAAATTGAATCTTTGTTATGAAGAGGATACAATGGAAATTCAACTTTTTGGGGGTCCTGAATTTTTCAGTGGAGTAAATTTTGAATGGGTGAAAATGAATGTGAAGATGATTTAGAGGAAAGGTAGATGAAAAGTTAAAAAGCAATAGTGAAGAGGAAGCAAGTCAATGTAGTTAAAATGAGTGTTATTTACAGTTGCACTAAAAATTTGAGTTACTGACTTTTATTCTTTTGCAATTTCTAATTGTATCAATAAGTTGGAAATTTACATGCCACTATTTTTCAAGAATGTGAGAACTTCAGAATGAGAAAGTGTTGTCTGGTTATGTAGTATCAAGGAACATTCCAAATGGTATTAGAGACCAAGTGTCAACATTTACTGGTTTTGCAATTAAGTAAATTCCAGAGATAGGGTAAAGAGGTTGGTGTTGAGAACTGAAGAAGTTGAGCAATTCTGCTCAAATTTATTTCCTAAGAGCACGTTTCTGTTCTTTATAAGGGATCCCTAAGCTAATAATACATAAGGAGTGTCCCACCAACTATACCCCCCTTCCAATTACTTCTAAATGGTTCCCAGTATTGAAGTGCAGTTTTTGCTCCACAATGCGGAGTCCTATGTCGTAAAGATATAGTAATATTTTCAGTTTTCAAGAAATTTATTCACTTTTAATTTTTAATGGAACACTATATTTTTCTCAGCAGCAATGGATAGATCATAAAAAAAGGAATACAATGATGTTTCATATGCTAGTATTTTGATAGTAATTTGTGTATAAAATTAGATTTTCTGACATGATTTTTAATTAAATATTTCCTGTAGCAGCCCTTGCAAATGTTGCCTTTGGGGAAGGTGGCCTTTGGGCATCGAGTCTGTTATGGGAATACTTACGTTTAATCTCCACAATAAATATTATTACAAAATTACTTTGCTTAAACTTTTGACAATAGTTTATGAATATATTTTCATTAGAAAGTTTTATCCTGCAATAATTTTTGCACTGATTTACAAAAATATTGAACTTCACTCTTAATTTTATACACTAATACATGCACTGAACTTATCTGAAATTTATATATTTTTTCTACAAGTTTATAAGAAATAAATACACATCAAATTGTATATAAATGACAGGTACTCATTTAAAATGTATTCAGTTTTGTTGGTTTCCTGTAGAAATAAAAAGAAGTCCCTGAGTTTCACAGATCCAGAGTGAGTGTTCCCGTTCAAAAATTCGGTGTGAGCTCTGCTTGGTTAAAAGGCTCCAAAAGTACTAATTAATCAATGAAGAAAATTTTGCAGTATTTCTCAACAACTTAATAAGAGAATGAGTGTTGGGGCCCGGCTTGCACCAAGGCTCCCTAATGCAATAGTAGCCTGTAAATTGTACTAGCAGACCTCAAGAAAATCACTTTTCTGTACAAATATATGCCAGAGTAAATTTTACTCATCATTAGTATTCTTGAATTAAAATACCACTATAGCAGAAAGATATAGCCAGAGTTATAGCAAAAGAAATTAATCATCAGGGATACTTGGAAAATTGATATCCTTTTCAGGCCAACTGCTTAACCGGGAACAGAAATCAGGCCTTTCTACCAAACAAGCAGAATTTGTAATAATTAAATGTTTTCTTTCTATTAAGGACAGTCAAGAAATAAATTAAATAATTTTTAAGCAATTTATTATATCACTATACATCTTTAATATAATGTTATATTTCAGATATAGATGTGTTTCCATCTTTGGAATCATATCAAATTACTAGAAGAGGTACATTGAATACAGAATAAGGAAAAATAATAGGCTTGTTGTATGGCATAAAACAATATTTTTTCCTGTTCATTATTTCTATCTTTAATGTCAAACAGTTCAAATTGGCCATCAATGTATATATAATATTATACAGGAAAAAAATTAGTTTTATTTCATATAACATGCCTGTCAATTTTCTTTATTGAATGTATAATATCTAACTTCTAATAATTTGTCTGGAAGACGGAAATACTTCTATAACTGAAACATTATGATATATTAAAGATGTAAAATGAAATGAAGGAGTTGGTCCCACTATTCATATTATCAAGAGAAGAAAGTCTACCTATCAGCTATTTCATTTTGTTGACATGTTTTTTTATCAGCCATTAATGAGAAGCCCTCTCTGCAAGCACATCGATACGATCCAGGTTCTGGTATACAAATATGAGCACATAATTGGCCAGGTAGAAGATCACAAAGGCTATCTAAACCTGTAAGAAAATGACAAAACAAACAGTAAAATTGAAAGACATAATGTATTAATAAATGGTTATGAGAAATTATTAAATTTAATAATATATCAAACATATGAGTTTTTGAAATTTATTTTTCTTAGAATGAAAAATATTCTAAATATGCAACTTACTGGGAGTTGGTATTGTATTCTTATCTTCTTTTCCCCTAGTAGTACTACTACTACTGCTGCTTGGAAAAGTCATTGCTGTTGTTGTTGTGACTGCTTCCAAACAACAAACACGATACGCTTCATCCCATGGATATCCAAATGAGAAATTATTGAATGAACAACCCATATTCATGGAACCAGAAAAAAGTCCCAGTTTGCATGCTTCACAGCAATCCTACATAAAACAGGAAAAAAAACTAGTGATGTTTAGAATATTACTTTGCTAGTGTATTATGGGAATAATTATTGTTCCCATCTTAAAGTTTTTATGAGTTCACCTTGTGGTACTCGCCACCAGGTTTGCCAACTGAGACACACTCGCTGCCAGTTTGTGCAGCTGTTTTTCCTTCATCGCACTGCTTATCCCTGCAAAATATACATGCATTTGGTTGATTTATTCTTAAAATATTAAATAATGTTCATGTGTTTCATTCATCTTGATTTAATACATTTTATTTTTACAAATGATCGTGCTATTTGAAGTTATATATACTCCGGGGCAAGTAGAAATGTAGGGTAAATGGAAATCACAATGCAATTTACCAATTTAAAATGCACAATCAATTTTATCTGACACAGAACACTAAAACCAATTATGTGATAAAACTTTGCATATAAAAAGTTTGCACAAGTTGAGAAATGGTTGATGATGCCTTCTCCTGTAGTCTTGTGAACAGTCAAAATTTGGCCTTGAAGTTGAATCTTGTTTTTGTAATTTTTTATAATTGCACATATAGCATGGAATATTGCATGAAAACTACTAAAAGTTTTAAAAAATGTTCATGGCATTAATGAATAAACTAATAATGGACAGCAAATTTCATTTGAAGGAAAAAACACTATCTTCAATTTTGTAGTTGTTGGATAACAATGAAAAATATTCAAAATTTCGCAATTTTTGAAATCTCTGAGTTAACCATGAAAATTGGACCAATGTCATCTTTATAAATGTATTTTACTCTATTTTCACAATAAATTTAAAGAAAAAATTGCGGCCATTTTTAAGAAACTTTTGAAAATGTACTGGGGATTTCATGTAACATACCCCAAAATTTTGAAGAAAGTTTTTCAAAATTGCAGCGCCTCGGCTCAAGCCAGATCGACCCGGGAATATCCGTTTTGGAACAAGTTCTACGTATGGTTTAGGCGTCAGTGGTGTTCACAGACGGAAGGACAGACGGACGGACGAACAGATGAATGGACGTTTTGAAAAAAGAAACAAAACAAAAAAGCTAGTGTTGCAACAGAATGGCACAGGCTTTCTCATAGTAAAGATTTCTAATTTCCTTGGTGTGTGCTGCCTTTATGGTCTTGCCCCATCCTCTTGTAAGCTGCCATCTATTACTGCCCAAAACACACTTTTTTCTTATAATTTTTTCGGTTTTATAATAGTAGAACCGAAATATGACTTTAAAAATATTATGGAAGAGTAAGACCTCGTCCTAAATGTCAATTTTCATTAAAAAATTTGGAGCTGTTTTTAAGAAAATGGCGTTTAAGAGTTACTTAAATGCAAAATTTGAAGCTCTTTTCATAGAAACATTTTGAGTTTTCGAAAAACTTAATGACGGCCATTTGAAGCACTTCCACTTACAAATACAATAATGTATACAAATTACTGGAAAATGTGCATATGGAAGGTGTAGGAGATATTTAAAAAATACATTTGTTTATTTTTTTTAAAACAAAAGAATACAACAAAATTAACTTTAAACAATTTTTAAAAGTGCAATTAGCACTACGCGTTGGATAAGTTGAAAGGAAAAAAAATTGGAAGATGGAAAAATTGAGAAAATGGTGTTTTAAGCAGTTCTGAAATTGCAAAATTTTGAGCTCATTTTAACAGGAAACTCTTGAGTTTTCGAGAAACTTTATACAACGCAATTTAAAGCAGGAGTACTTGTAAATGCAATAATATAAACAAAATGTCGCTAATGTAAATATCAACCACGTGAGAGACAAGTCAAAAAATTACATTTTCGTATTTAAAAAAACAACAGAAGGATATAGCAATATCCTTACAAGCAATGTGGTATTTGTGTCATCTTATAAAGTGCATTTAGCACAACCCCCATCAAAAGTTTAAAGAAAAAGTTTGGAGACGTTTTTGAGAATATCTTGTTTTGTAATTTTTTATAATTGCACATATAGCACGCAATGTTGCGCGAAAACTACTGAAAGTTTTAAAAATGTACATAACTTTAATGAATAAACTAATTATGGACAGCAAATTTCCTATGAAGGAAAAATCTCCATTCTTAATTTTGTAGATATAGGTTGAAGCACGAAAAATTTCAAAATTTTCGAAATTTCAAAGTTAACGCTGAAAATCGGACCTATGCCCACTTTATAAGTGTATTTTACTCCCTTTTAACACTAAATTTAAAGAAAAAATTTGGAGCCGTTTTTGAGAAAATTACGGAGTATATACGTACGTATACAAAAAAAGCACGTATGTGATACTACAGAAAGACACAGACTTTCTCGTACTAAAAGTTTTCCAATTTCTTTGGTCTGGCCTAGTTTTTCTCTCTTGCCATATAATTTTTCCAGCTGCCATCTATCGTCGCACAAAGTTCATTGTTTTTAAAATTCCTCAAATTTTCGGTTTACTAATAGGGGAACCGAAATATTACTTTAGGAATATGAGACAATGGTAAAACCTTTTTCTAAGTGGCAATTTTCATTGAAAAATTTGGAGCCTTTTTAAAGAAAATGGCGTTTGAGCGTTTCTGAAAATGCGGAATTTTGAGTTCGTTTTGACAGAAAACTTTAGTTTTCGAGAAAGTTTATATGACAATTTAATGCACATGTAGTCATAAATATAATAATGTGAACAAATCGTCGCTAATGTAAATATAAACGACGTGAGAGACAAGTCGAAAAATTAAATTTTTGTAATTATTGAAAAACAGTAAGAATAAAGCGAATTGGTGTTTGTGTCATCTTATAGAGTACTTTTAGCACCATCCCTGCCAAAAGTTTAAAGAAAAAATCTGAATCCGTTTTTAAGATTTTTTTTAATTGCACATATTGAACGTATTGCGCAAAACTACTAAAATTTGAAAATAATGTGCCTTACCTTAATGAATGATCTCATTATGGAGAACGAATTTTACTTCAAAGAAAAATCTCTATCTTAAAGTTTGTAGTTGTAGGAAAACGCCCAAGAATTTCAGTTTCAAAATTTCCAAAAATTCAAAACTAACCCTAAAAATCCTTTTACGTTTATTTTATACTATTTTTACAAGAAATTTTAAGAAGAAAAAATGGAGACTTTTTGTTAAAATGTTCAAAATGTCCGCGGGGCTTCATGTAAGGAACCCCGAAAATTTGGGGAAAGAAAAATCGCAACAGATCGACCGGGAAATATTCATTTTAGAAGAAATCGTGCGTATGGTTTGGGAGATCAGCCCCAGCTGCCCTCCTCTCTCGGCACTTCAGCTGTTCTGTTATCATCTCTAAGCTCCATGATTACAAGGATACTATCTTCAAATCTACTCTAAAACAAAGAATATAATACATTTATGGAGTCTACACTACAGTGGGTGGCCAAATTATTAGGGACAGTATTAGGGTACATTAGGGACTCATATTTGTGTAATTTCTATTTTAAATCGTCTTTTGAGCAAAGAATTTGGTTCCTATAGGATAGGCAGTATTGCAGTTATCATTACTATTGTTTATGGTAAGGTAACACAGGATGCCTGTGTTATTTAAAAAATAAGTGATGTTACGTTAATTCAGTTGAAGTATATTGAAAACCACTGCTGTAATGAAGACACACAAATTATTTTTTAATGTTTTTGCACGTTTTTTTCTTTCCAAAGTAATCAAAATGTAAGTATTGTTCCTTACTGCATTGCGTTTACTGAATTTTATGAGTGAATTTCATTTGAGTTTACAATGTAACGTCACAACCATGATATTTTTAATATTCAATAGGTTAAGGTTTCAGACACGTCTCCAAGGAAAATTAGAGAAATACAAACACTATTATTTCACTCCACACATTGACAGATGTATAGCAACTTTGGCAGATGTTTCGAGAACTGTTGTTAAGAGAATAAAAGTAAAAATTGATTCGAAAAAAAACTGGATGCAGACCATGTGGGTAAATGTGTCAAGAAAAGGATCATCAGTCTTCGTACTAATCGTAGAATCAGGAATTTATGCCTCAAAAATCGTAAAAAGAATGTTGCCCGTCTGACTATGAAGATAAACGCCAAAGGAGTAACAGTTTGCAAAAGGATAATCTGGAGACGGGTGACCGAAGAGAACCTGAACGGCCGTAGCCCTATAAAAAACCACGCCTCACCCATGCAATTCAGAAGAAGCGACTGCAATTGGCCAGATAACACTGACACATTACTGTAGAAAACTTAAGTCGAGTAATACAACCTCTATAGTAAAAGCACTATTGCATTTCTTCAATAATGATTTTTTTTTAACACTTAACAAAAATTACAGGTATGCTTCTGACGAATCTCCGTTTCAGATTTTGGTCGACTTAAGTTCATTTGTCCGACGCTATCCGGGGGAACAGTACCACCCACATTACCCAAGAGAGAGGGTTAAACACTGGGTTAGTATCGTGGTGTGCCTGATGTTCTCAGTGAAGGGTATATGGGAACACATCGTAGGGGCCTACACATCGTAGAAGGAACCATGAGGCAATACCAGTAAAAGCGAGTGCTAGAAACTGCCACTGTCACAACTCGAAGAATGGTCAATTAACCCCTGGTGATTAAGAATACATTTTTATGCACGATTCAGCATCGTACCACAAAGCCAGGAGAATTACTGCATTCCGCTACTGCTACTGAATTACTGCAAAATAATACCGTTTTGTCCTGGCCGGGAAACTCTCCAAAGGACCGATCTACAAGCGAGTGATCATCACCAATTTATATACTCTCTGCAAGAGTCAGTTAATTGAAATTCTCAACAAAGTATGACATCACACCTTTGAACTGCAACAAAATGCAAAAGTCTTTATAGAGAGCGTCCCTCGACGCATTGAAGCTATAATTGCATTAAAGGGTAGCGTCACTAAATACTAGAATTAATTTTATAGAAAACTAAAAATAGATTTATATAATATCTTAAGATTTTTAATAATTTTAATAATACACTCTTAAAAATAAAAAATACCTACGTGACCAAAAACCAATAATTTGTTTGAAAAATGCAGTTAACCTACAAAATACAAAAATCTGTGTACTGTCCCTAATAATTTGGCCACCCACTGTATATTAATTTGATTGAGATGTAATATAAATAAATTATCTTTTATTTACTATTAGAAAATAACTAAAAAATACAGCCGAATATTTCTAGAAAACAAAATTTATTGGAAAATGAAA